CATGGTCCATAGTGAAGGAGGGGGGGGGGGACCCTTCTGCATAACCTGTGGACCACTCTGCCCTGTACTCCAAGTCTCCAAAGCCCCCTCCCTCCCACATGCCCTTATATAACTCAAGACATGGGACAGTGATTGACAAGCAGGTTTCCTAGAACCCAAAGGATGAGACCTAGCCTTAAGGGACCTAACACTCTGTAACATACCTCCCCTTGTTGATTATGGTACGCCCTTTTACCTAGCTGAGGGACTGATTAAGCACCAGTCAAAACTAACAATTCTACGCCAGTACATAACTCAGTGCAAGAAACAACAATATACAGCATCAATTATTAAAGAACATTAACTGCAACAAACGAACAAGTCAGGAAAAGTAATGAATACCGTTCTGTATCAGGGTGTCTGTGTCTCAAGAGAAGTTACAGATTTTCACCTACTAGGCAAACCATACCATGGTTCTTCCTTATAAGTTTAATCATGTGCCACTGCAAACAGGAAATCTGTGTTAAATTGCCTCCTTTGTTCTATCTCAGATGGGAGGTATACATTGGATGCACATTTTATTTCAGATATTCCAGCGCAAGCCTGAATTGTGGCTTTCAGAATCATAACTGGGGCCATGGAACTCAGAGTCCAGAGGGGTTTCATACACCACAAGTTCAGTCTGGTCACAAGACTCCTGGGCAGAGAGGAAGAAGAAAATTAGTAAAGTATTTGAGCCGGGGCCACTACAGCTCCCAGTTTCTCCCAAGGCTCTGACATGTTCTGCTGTATCAGTCTCTAACTATTGAGTTGAGGGCAGCACAGGCAAATGCTGCTCCAGCAAGTCTGTGGTTAGTGCACTTAGTTGACTCTGAATCACAGATTTCTTCATTGTACTCTGCAGCTCTCCCAGCTCTGTCAAAGACACAGCAGACTTCAGAGCCTCCTCTGATTGTGGTACAGGAGGCTCCACAAGGGGAAAGTCCCCCTCCTCAAAGCTCCAGGAACCAGTCAACTCCACCATTTCCAGCAAACTGCACATTGCTATATGGTGTGCTTTGGTCTTCGCTGAAAGGTTTGTGGTGGGGTCCCTGTGGGTCATCTCAACCCCTGGCTCATCGAGTGAGATAACCCACAGTCCTTCCAAACTCACAGACTTGGGGCAAGGGGCATCCCAGTTATTCTGGAGTTCCCTGGGTTCCACATTGCCTGGCAACAGATATAATAGAAAGTCCTGGCAAGCCTGGCAAAAGGCCCAAGGCACGGCCACCAGTGTAAATTGAAAACATTCTGGGCAAACCAGTTGTTCTACCTTCCAACCAACCTTTACTCAGAAGCCAGCACCAACTCTCTATAGTGCTATTTCAAGCTGCCAGGTCTAGAAACTGACACATTCCTCCAATATGCGGACAGGCAAGCTATCCTGCCAATTACACCAAATGTGTTACTGAGATCAAGACTAGCTCTCTCATGTGTCAGTACTGGGAACTACAATTTAATTATTTCCAGGCTCTGCCCAGTTGCAAATGGGCCAAAGCCCTTAACTTTTAACTACTAAACACAGAGGCCCAGACTTGAGGACCCTCATACCTGCCCTTGTATAACCCAAATCAAGAAACAATGATTGACAGGCAGCTTGTCTAGATCCAAAGGGTGGGACCTAGTCTTAAGCCAATTAACATCCTGTAGCTAAATAACAGAACAACACAACGAAAAAATATATTACCTTGACAGTGACCCACAATATTCCAATATGCTGCCGCCCATTCATATTTTAATACTGCAGTTATTTCACACAAAAAAGAAGTGCAGGAATTTAAAGTGTATGTAAAGGCAAAACTTTTTTGGAGTTTGGGGAGTGGGGCAGGGATTTAACCTTTGGCAAGCTTTTATTGTAGTCACCCTTCTATTTGTCCTGGTGACATTGTTCCATTGGTCCATAGTTACCAAAAGGATGGAAATCCCTAATATTTAGAGTTATCATGAGAGCAAAAAGTGAGGGGGAATGTTTTATTGCCAAATGTTCTACTAACAATTGTCTAAGATGGTCACTCCCCTCACTTCAGGGAGATTTCCTCTGTGTCTCAAGGACAGAAAGTAAAGGAAAATCTCCCCAGCAGACCAAAGACAGCAAAAAATAACCTGTTAGGGTTTTTAAGAAGGGATGTTTAGATACCAAGTACTCTACTTGGTACAAGTAAAATACTGATACTTTTCCAGCTCCAAGACTAGACTAGAGAAAAATTGATAAATTAGGAGGCAGCTGTCATTTTAAGGATAATTGGCCACAGGGCTCCTGGGATTTGTGCATCCCTGTTTAAATGTATGATTTTTTATATATATATTTATATACACTGAGTGGCCAGATTATAATGACCACCTGACGTTTGTAGGCAAATTAGCTATAATTAGCTATAATTTCGCACTGAAGTTGCTAGAGGGCCAGACCATTATAAATAGGGAAGCAGGCTGTTTACCACGACAGTAGAAGTGATTTTTTTCGGAGGATATGGGTAAACAACGCGATTTAACAGGCTTTGAACGTGGGATGATTGTTGGCGCTCGGAGCCATGGAGCGAGTATCAGCAAAACAGCAGTCCCAGTACTCACAGATACCAATTACTGATACATTTTTGTTTAGTGTCATGTGGTAGTTTTTCTAAAACAATACAGACTAATGATTTCAAGACAGTGGTGGAGTGCCAGGGCCCTCTCACAGCTGCAACCGCTGCGACCCTGGTAGTTCTCGTGAAAATGCCAAGTATCAGCACTGGTATCCGAACTGGTATCTAAACATCCCTAGTTTTAAGTCTTTATTTCTCCATTCGAACCTAAAATAAAAAAAGCTTTGGCTATACATACACTTTAGGAGTTAAACCACAGAATCAACACATGATAAATTCTATGTATACTCTATTGCAATATGTGATTTTCTGTAGGGATGCACCATACTTTATTAGCGGGATTTGTGAGTTTTGTATCTTTAATGTTTAAACTAAACCTAATTGTTTGGTATAAACATTGAAAATGATTTAAGATAAGAAAAACTAACATAATACTTTTGTTTCCCATGGTCCATGTGTGTGTTGTAAAGTAGCCACCACTCCAACCTCACCGATTCACTAATTTGTATTGAGATTGTAGTCCATCACGGGAGCAAGCTTGGAGCGGTGGCTACTTTGCAACACACAGGGACCATGGAGAACAAAAGTAGTCACCCTCTACTTTTGTTCTCCATGGTCCCTGAACAGTATCAGCACCAATTCAAGATGATTTGAGGATCTACAGCCGAGTGATACATTTTTGTTAATAGTTAAGATACATGAATGTAATAGAAGCAGAAGCATATGCAATGCTCTCATAATGGGACTATGACTGCCATTTTATGGGATTGCATATGCATCTGCTCTGTTTGCTGTGGTTAGGTTATTACAGAGTCAAAGTAAATAAATAAAAAAGCTTATCTGTAATCCTTGAGCTTTGGCTGTTGGTCCACGTTCCTCCAGCCAGCTGTACCTCACAAGCTCACATTGTCTCCTATAAAGAGAAGCAACAGACACATTAATGGAAGTAGAAGACAGACCCCTGATCAGAACAGTAACATTACTTAAAAGTCACAGCCTTTTTGGGCCCTAGGTCTCTCTATTTCTTGGTCAAGATTTTTATTGTTTACTGGCTGTTTTGTTTTATGTTTACGATGTTAGATTCCATTTATTGTTTATTGGCTTGAGTTGTGTTAAAATGAGCCATAAAATTGGTTTTATAGTAAAAAGTTATGTTGAAATGTTATGGTCTATGTTGATGTTTTTAGATCAATAAAGGCCATGGTCAATTAAATCTCATATTGGTTGTATTGATTTATTTGTGTCTTAATTATTATTATTATTATTATTATATGTAATCTTGCTGTCTACAGCCCCATGCATTTTTAAGATTGAACTACTGAGTTTAGTCTCACTTTAAGCTCAAACCACAGAAGTGATTTTAAAATGACTTCATTCAGGTGAGCCATGCAACCATAAATCACCTGTAAGTGTTTGCAGTTTCCTACAGTCACTCCAAACTGTTCCCTATTGTCAAATCTTGTGATTACTGTGATTGCTTGTGGAGTGAGTACGTAACTGCACAATGCCATAGCTATGCATTCTCAATTGCTGGACAACTGTGTATATACTGTACAATCACCTGATGATCATAGTAGAAGTCAGTGGAAAGTAGGCTGGAGTGACTGTTAGTGGGAACAGAAAGCAGTCAATGGGTCAGAGCACAGAAATTTACTGGTATAAACTAGGGTTTGCGTGGAGGGCTTAGCTGGAACATGTAGTTGCTTAACTTTTGATGGATATCATTTCAATAGGTTAGTTCAATATGCTATCATTGAAGGCCAAAAGTTGTATTATTGTTTTTGTATATTCTCATGTGACTACTGCGTTCTTCAGATAAGATAGGAAAAAAGTGAGAAGAAACCAGACTTCTGCTGGGAACAGCTCCAATTTTGCTCCAGTTTTCTGAAATCATGTTTCTAAAATCATGTCATCAGTAAGTATTTGAAATAGAATACTGAGAAATCTTATTTATTGATGTGTTACAAAATCCTATAACTTGTTTTTTGAAGAATCTGTTCACTTGTAACACAGCTTGTGTAAATATTACAGTTTGTTAATGCTGAAAGGGTCTAAGGGTCTACTCAGTGTTTACACATAAGAGGTGTACTTTTCTCACCCTAGCAGCAACTTCATGATTTCCTTCTGTGCCTGCCAGCGGGGCACACTGTCTATCACACTGGCTTGGGAATTGGATCACATGCTTACAAACCTAGGAATTCCAGTCTCTTGTGCAGCTCTGAAGTACATAGAATGTGATGGTCACTCTTTCTAGCTTCAGGGATGTTAGTTGCACAGGGCTGATCCTGATTATTCAGTGACCTATTCATTTTTCTTAAATCAAAGCTCCATTCAGAAAACACAACCAAGTCTGCTGCCCTCATAGCCGAGAGGCACTAGGAATGATTTTTCCTTAAACCCAACTTCTTTTTCTTTTATCCTCCCTCCAGTCCTTACATATTGTCAGCTTCAGTACTCTTCTACCCCCACTGGAATACCTCTGTCCACATCCTGGGACCTAAAGACAGAACAAGTAAGATAGTTTTATACAATCTATATTACAGAGATATTTGCTACTGTATGTACTATTTCTTAATGGTATAATTCACTGTTCTACGAACACAGTGTATAATATTCTTCCTGCCTTACAAAGTGTCAGGTTTAAGTCAGGAATTCCATGACTGAATGTAGAATTATTACATGTACATTCAAGAAGAAGTATCACATGTACATTGTGTCGATACTGCTACTTCTTATATATCATTAGAGATAATTAGCCATATTTCTATAAGACAGTGCAAGGACGAGTGGTGGAGTGAAGAGTGAACCCAGTAGGCATCTATAGCATAATCGAAGCAATGAACAATAACTGCTGAGAGGTAGCAAAGGGTTAGACATTGCAGTTTGCATGACTTGTAGAATTTGAATGCATTACAATTGATGTTCTACACACACTGCACTTATGGAATAGTTTATGCACAGATATATATTACTACTGTTGTATTCTAGAAATATTTTGAATATGCTGTATTTTAGTAAAATGCTACATTTCACAAACCATACCTTTTATATACCATAAAAATGATTTTTTAAAATAATTTGCACCACTTGTTGTTATGTTATCTTTCTCTATCTCTTCTTTATCAGCACAGATGAATCTTGTATAACTGTGTTGTGTAACACCATCTCTCTGTATATTGTGTTGGTTAGTGCAAAAAGAAATGAAAAACTTAGCTGAAAAATAAAAGAGCAGTACAGACACAAATCGGATATTGTTGAGGGTAATTATTGAAATAACTTGCCTTTATCAAAGGTGGCTATTGTTATACATTGATAGCGCTACACAGTATGGCTGTTGTATTGTACAAGCTGCTTAAACAAGCTGTATGTGTTAATAACTAATTATTTCTGACATTAAGGATTAGAGCATTACCATAATTAAAAGGAAGTTACACGCCAATTTATTGAATTCTACCAAAATGTATTTAAATTTGCAAATCATTCAATAAACTGGTACTTTAAATACAATATTGAAGCATGTTATGCCGGTGTATTGATTAAGGAATAGCAAAAAAGATTAACCATAGCAACCTGTCAGGAATGGCCTTTTTTGTTTTTTAATTGTTTATTTAGACATCCCAAGGGAACATCCATATAAATAGTTTGCGTATGCAAATAGGTGAACACTGAGTTCATCCCTAAGAGCACTAAGTATGTGGCATACACATAGAAGTGTACATTGAGTCATAGGGGGTTATTTACTAACCTAAACACACGCACGCACTAGGTGCATGTGATTTTTACACAGCAAAACGTATTTATCAACCAAAAAGTCTCTAAAAGCATATTTCCACTAATGCCATATATGGAAAAATCATGCACATGATGCATATATAATGCTGCTTCACAGTTTAGACAAAAATGGTTAGCTCATGCATTTACATTCCTGCATTCATCAACGCAAGCAACACAATGTAGAGCTAATTTACACAACATCACCTTGCAATTCATGCAGGGCTTTGCACAACACACCTGCTGGGTGTGTACACACTACAAAGGTGTCTAGATTCCACCAATAGATCATGCTGGGAGGGAACACACTACAGAGGTGTATACTTGTTCGTGGCATGTTTATAAGGTTAGTAAATCAACACCATAGAGTAAAGCATACAATTTGCCACACAGCTACAATAAAAATAATAAACAACTGGATGTCACAGATTTTTTTTACATTTGGTTTATTGGTGACAGTCTGTGAATAGTGGGGGTAGGGTACAAGTGAGTGTGTGATTGTAATGGAGTGTGGTATGTGAGCTAGAGTAGGATGGTGGGTGGGGAATGTGTACAGTAAAGTTCGGTAAGATTAATCGCATGTAGGCATCACATATGGGGAAATATAGTGCTGAAGAGGTGGCAGGAGAAAGTGGGGGTTGGGGGGGAGAGACAGATGGTAATAAAAATAAATAGAGGCTCAAGAAGAAATGTGGCTATTTGGAGTGTACATTCAATTATTGGGTATTGTCTAGGTTCCTGCAGACATGGATGAAGGGTGGTTCTTAATATTTGCACCCCTGGAATCAAAGTGACACTAAACTCAGGAGTTAAATCTAAAAATACATTCAAGTACTATTAATACAAATGTATCTTATTTGTGTATGATTCAGCTGTAGATCTTCAAATAATCTCTGACTTGGTGCTCACACTGACCTTCCTTCTGGAGGGTGGCTACTTTTGTTCCCCATGGGCCCTGTGTGTGTTGTAAAGTAGTCACTGCTCCAAGCTCACTCCTGTGATGGACTGCAATTTCGCGTTTAGTTTACTAATTTGTATTGAGATTGTAGTCTGCAATGGAATGCATATACATGAATGGATGCCTTAGCTGATATTATCTCAGAAGGGACGTAGTAAATTGCAAAATCTCCAACATAGTGGTGAAATATGTGGATATAGTTTATGTAGCAAGTCAGGTATCCCGTACCATCTTGAAAAAATTTTGTCACCGGATTCTTGGTATTTACTGGCTAAAGATTTATGTGCCAAGAATAAAATTGTATGTTGTAAATCTGGAAGACAGAGGGAGGATTTATCAAAACTGGAGCGGACAAAATCTGGAGCAGTTGCCTATGGCAACCAATCAGCTTCGCTCTTCACTATGTTCAGTTATGATTTGAAAATTAAAGAGAGAAGCTGATTGGTTGCAATGCACAGCTGCTCCAGATTTTGTCTGCTCCAGTTTGATAAGTGAGGGGAATTTATCAAAACGGCAGCAGGCAGAACCAGGAGCAGTTGCTCATGTCAACCAATCAGCTGAAGCTTGGTAAAATTGTCATTTTTGAAACGACCGAGCCATGGATAGGGTTAGAGGCTTCACGTGCACAAGTTCTTTCCTAATTTTGCCCCGGAAGGGGGTACAATTAGTCTGGTAGAGTTTTTTGAGCCAGAAGTGATGTATGTGCTGAGATATTTGACCTTGATGGATGCCCATTTGAAGGGGAAGCTAGGTTTGAGGTTCAGGGCATGAGCAATTGAAATGTCGATATTTAGCATTTCAGATTTTTGGAAGTTTATCTTGAAGTTTGAAAGTTTCCAGTATTCTGGGCACTCTGTGAGGAGACTGAAATGTGAGGATTTAGGTTGTGTGATCATAATGATAAGGTTGCCTCCAAAGGCAGCCACTTTATGACGTCCTAAACATTGTAAAATACTGTTAATATCTGGATTGTTTCTGATGGTGCATATGTATGGTTCTAGTTTGAGAACAGATTAGGGATGATAGTGGGCATCCTTGGTAATTACCATTGGATATCTGAAAGCATTCTGATCTAGCTTTTTTTCTTTTACTGTAGCTGTCAAAAGAAATCAGGAGTTGTGAACAATGATCCATTTGAGCATGTGGTTTTGTAGTCCCAGAATAACCAGGGTTTGTAACAGAAACTGCCATTCCACTCGATTGAAAGCCTTTTCTGCATCAGTAAGCAGAAAAAGCATTGGAGTGGCTTTCGATCAGGCAGAATGGACAGCATTAATGCTTCATCAAAATACCTATGCTCCTAACTCTTCCCTAAATAATCCTAAATAGTGTGATAGCTGCAGTGAAAAAACAAGTGTAGTCACCTTTTATAAACTTTAAACCAGAATACACCACACTAGCTAAAATATATGTATCATAACTGCAAACCCATAGATTATACTCATAACAAATCCATAGTGTATATATCATAACCACAGAAACATAGTTTCCGTTCATAAAACTCAAATATTCTCAAAAATCAAAAAGAAAAAAACAGTCTAATTGTAATTAGGCAACTAAGAGAAAGACAGTGTCCTAATCATCCACAGAGCAGTGTAATGTGCTCCACACTCAGATTTCTAAAAGTCTCTTCATAAAATAAAATAAAATAACTTCTCATTTATTGTCGGGAACGAAGGAGGAGTTAGATCTACAAGGATTATACAGAGCACTTTTTTTTAGACCATTTTGTTTGTGGTCTAATTAGTCTGGGATTGCATTATTGAATGTACAGTTCTGGGGCCATCACTAGGATGCACTTTATTGATTGCAGTGGAGCACAAAGTGGATTCACTACACACATGATTGGGACAATATCGAGAAGATATTTGATTTGATTTGATGAAGTGACTTTTAAATAACTGTATTGCGGTGTTCTAGGGAATACTCTGGTCCTCATAACGGGATGGGTTTGGTTGATACTTGGTGATGTTTGTTTATTGTTTGTCTGTTGATCTATGTTATTGACAGTATACAATATGGTTTTGCAGTTATGATACATATATTTTAGATCGGTGTATCTTGGTTTATAGTTTACTGAGAGTACTTGTAGTAGTCAGCAACAGGTAAAAGACAAAAAACATCATAGTAATCAAGTGTGTCATTAAGATAGATTCCAAATCTGTGCATAGACATGCCAGCAGAGGGGGTACAGGAGCAAGGGGGCCAGTTTCCTTTGGGTTTGTGATACATGTCAGGCTTGCCCAAATTACCCTATAATAAAGGTTGCCAAAGCACTCACAGACATAAACTAGCCTTAAATGGTAGGGATGTATCAACCCAGGTAAAAAAGTGTCACAGGATGGCATTGCAGTCTGGTAAAAGGAACAAAAGGTACCAAGCACAATGAGCTGAGAGCTAAGGCTCCATTCACATGTGGAATTTGCGTTTTCTGCCCTGGCATGAATTTTTTACATACGAGCGGATTCCACCCCTAAAATCGTGCTGGCACTATTTTGCTGGATGCGCGGTTTCATACAGTGTGGACGCAGCAATAGTCTGAACAATGCACATTGGAACACATTGTTTTTTATGTTGAGCGTGTTTCCACACGCGAGAATACGCGCGGAAAACCGCTCATGTGTATTTGGAGCATTAGTTTAATAATAAAAAGGGGTGTCTCGGGGTGTCAATAAGAGTCTGGGACAATCTGGTAGAAAGGGGAAATAAGGACAGTTATGGACCAATGAGAAGTGCATGTCCATGATGGTTTGGGTTCATGGTTAGGGTACGTTGGTGGCCAG